GGGGGGGGGTTAAGCTTTGAGTAATACAGCCAAAAATGGCATTAACTATGATTAAGAATCATAGAAATCATTAACACAAAATATGGTACATTTCGTTGCAGTACAGACAAGGCACATTGTTTATAGTCCTATAAAAAAGTTTGTGGAAGCAAGAAAAGGCATGTGCAGTCTCACAACTCCAGATGTTCATTGATAATTCTGACCATACTTTTAAAAATTCATTCCAGATAAAGAAAAAAGAATTGTAAAAGATGTAAGGATAGGGAAGTAATACTTTCTTTTTTTAAAGTGGCCAAACATAACGTATTCAGGTGTAGTAGAATGACCGGATTGTGATTCTTTATTACGTTAAGATGTCAGAAAACTCACATGGTGGCTCCTACTCTATAACTCTATCAAGATAATTATGCGACGGTGATGTTAGTCTTAAGTGCTAGTGTTTTAGTGCCTATAAATCACTGTATGCTTCCCAGGAAGTTGAGTTTGTTTCAGAATGCTCTCAGGTCTGCTGGGGTAATAGTATAGATTGTGAAGCGCATAGAGCTTGTTGTTGAGCGGAGGATTTGCGCTATACAAATACTATCTATTATTATTAACTATCTCAAAACCCTTTTCGGGCACTTAAGGAAAAGCAGTGTAGCTTCATTCTTCATACAGATTGTTCAATTCCTTTTGCTTTATCTGAAACTTTGAAAAAGCATGCAACAACTTGCGTAATGAAATATGCAAATTTGTGTTTGTGATTTTTGCTCTCGGCCTGTTGATGATCCGACATGATATTATGTGTCTGTCGTGCAATAAAAGAGATAAATAAGATCCACAGAGATGGAATGTGATCTGTTCAAATGCAAAGAGTAGGTTAGGATTAATCTAGATGAAAGATAAAAGATAAAGATCATTCAAAAAAGCGTGTGTTCAACTGTGGTCGAGTGATCAGTGTGTGTGAGTGTCCTCCAAATGTGTCACGATGAGGTGGAATCAGGCGCTCGTCAATTGTTGGATATATGAAGTTATTGGTACCATCATACAGCATGTTCTTATGCCTTGCTTGTGATTAAAAAATTGCCCATCTATCTGGAATAGAAGTCGAGATATTTGCAATTGAAGGGGAAGGGGGGGTGGCCTGATTTCAGAGGTAAAATTAGCGAGAAAATGACATCAAAGCCTGGTGTTTTACATAGCTTGAGAGACAAATAGTTTACATTGTTTGTGCCCTTTATCAACATTTTTACTGAAATCTTCATAGAAATGTGATTTTCAACAGATATAAAAGGTGTTAAACTAAAAAATAAAAATTGTAAAAAAATTGCAAAACTGGGGGAAAAAGGCCGATTTCTCTAATTTCATTATTGTGACGAGCGCCTAATTTCACCACACTGCCCCACAAATGTTGTCAAGTGATCAGAGTGCGTGTCCTCCGAGTGCAGAGTTGTCAGGTTGGGTCATGTCCTGTCTCACCAGGCCGACTGCCCCGATTGCTTGACCAGACTCTTCTGGTCTGAGCCCCCCTCCCCAGCACTGAGCGGCCGGTTGAAGCCTCCACCGTTGTCATCCGCCGTGATGTTGTCCTCGTAGTGGCCAAGGCGACTGTCGACTCTGAAACATGACGGAGACAAAACTCAAGGTAATTGTGAGGTATCATGGTGAAATCAGGCACTTGTCAAAATAATTAAATCAAAGAAATTGTCATTTTTCTGACCATTGGAAATTTTTTTTTCTAATTTTCTTCTTTTGTAGGGGGGGTGGGGGGCAGTACCTTTTACATCTATTTAAAAACACATTTCTGTGTGAATTTTACTGAAAAACATTGATTAAAGGCTAAAAAAATGTCAGTTTTCAGTTTCCAAGGACTCTCAAGCTATGAAAATTACCAAACTTTCACAGCCACTTTCTCATTAATTTCACCCTTTGAAACCAGGCGACTATGACCTCCTTCAATCGCAAATATTTCAACCTCTATTCAACATAAAAGGATATTATTTTTTCTCTAAAAGCAAAGAAAATAAACAGGCTTTAAGATGGTACCAATAACCCTGTATAAGCAAAAAATACGGACCAGCGCCTGATTCCACCATGTCCCGACACAATTGTAACAGTGTTATATGTTGGACCATATTTCAGTGTAATGTTGTTGTGTGCCCTACAAGGGAAACTACTGTTTATGCTTGGGGAGAGCTCTTCATTAAAAGAGTCACTGCACTTGGCGTGTGGGGGCTGATCAGCACAACGGTGGTTTTTCTGTGCCTTGTGTTCATTCTAAGATATCTTTGGTCTATCCTGTTTGATACGACCCTCCACACCTTTACAGTAATGAATAGTAAGGAGTCATAAATGATGGACTCTGACACAGGAAAGAGGGCGCATTTCACTCTTTCCCCACTATCTTTCTTTCTTTCTTTATTTCTCAAAGCGTGTACATTTCTTCCTTTCCATCTTTCTTTCTTTCTTTCGTACTTTCTTAATTTCTTAAAGCGAGTACATTTCTTTCTTTTCCTCTTTCTTTCTTTCTTTCTTTCTTGCAACCATGATGGCTGGAGGGTCTCTGAGTCACTTTCAGGTATTCATGATTTCGTGCCAGATGCCTATTGTGAATTACATAGAAGATTCGTTTCAACATGGTAAGACAAGTGTTTTTCAATTTTTTAAATATTTTTTTTTCAGGTGGATTAGTACTTTTTTTTTTTTAATGACTGTGTAGGTTTTTTCATGATCCCATGGACACGCATTTTATCATTTAGGAGGCAGGCTTCCAAATCTGTTTGTCAGGGCCAACCCGGGCTCGGATGGGTATAATATACCGGCAGAAAGACCGAGATAATCATTACCAATTCCGACGTGCATATGACCTTATGCAGTTGAGAGGGCCGTAAAACCTCTACTAAAACTAAAACAATACTGCTTCCCCACTGGGGAATTGAACTTGGGTGTCAAAGGCAGAACAGTGAAGTCCCTAACCCCTACACCACAGACATCTGTGTAGTAATTGTATTCTTTTAAAAAAAAGGGGGGAAAAAGAGAAAATCAAAAATTATTTGAACGATTATGATGGTGCCGATGATGGTGCCGATGATGGTGGTGATGATGATGGTGATGATGATGATGGTGATGGTGATGATGAGGATGAGGATGATGATGATGATGATAACAAAGACAACAATGACGATGACAATGATGACATTTATATGACATTTCCAAAGAGTTTAACACTCACCTCCTATTTGCACGCTTCTTCATCTGTATCTTGAGGATGATGACAAGGACAACCACCAGAGCAACAGCCAGAGGAAGACCCACGCTCAGACCCACGATCAGTGGAATGTCTAGTGGGAGGTGTGACAGTGACAGTTGTTGTAGTTGTTGTAGTCCTTGTTGTAGTCGTTGGATTTGTTGTATTTGGTGTAGTTGTTGTGGTTGTTGTAGTTGTAGTGATGTTGTAGTTGTTGTGATGTTTTAGTTGTTGTGATGGTGTAGTTGTTGTAGTTGATGTGATATTGTAGTTGTTGTTGTTGTTGTGATGTTGTAGTTGTTGTTGTTGTTGCTGTGATGTTGTAATTGTTGTTGTTGTTATAATATTGTAGTTGTTGTTGTTGTTGTGATGTTGTAATTGTAGTAGTTGTTGTAGTAGTAGTTGTTGCTGTTGTTGTTGTTGTTGTTGTGATGTTGTAATTGTTGTTGTTGTTGTGATGTTGTAGTTGTTGTTGTTGTTGTGATGTTGTAGAGTTGTGATGTTGTTGTTGTCGTGATGTTGTAGTTGTTGTGATGTTGTAGTTGTTGAAGATGTTTTATTTGGTGTAGTTGTTGAAGTTGTTGTAGCTGTTGTAGTTGTTGTGATGTTGTAGTTGTTGTAGTTGTTGTAGTCGTTGTAGTTGTTGTGATGTTGTAGTTGTTGTGATGTTGTAGTTGTTGTAATTGTTGCAGTTGTTGTAGTTGTTGTAGTTCTTGTGATGTTGTAGTTGTTGTCGCTGTTGTGATGTTGTAGTGTTGTGATGTTGTTGTTGTTATGTTGTAGTGTTGTACTTGTTGTTGTGATGTTGTAGTAGTTGTTGTTGTTGTTGTGATGTTGTAGTAGTTGTTGTTGTTGTGATGTTGTAGTGTTGTGATGT